GAAGGGGGGAGAGGTGGAAGGTGTGTTGGGGGTCAATGTCTAAAGCAATGTCCCTGGGGTGGGGCGTGGGAGTCTGTCCGTCTCAAACCTGCAATAGAAAGTGTTTAACTCGTTGGCCAGGTTTTTTTTTTGCTTCAATAGTGGGTGGGGTGGGGGGGGTTGGGGGCGTCTGTAGCTGGTGATTTCCTGCAGGCCCCTCCACACTGACGCAGGGTCGGTGGCTGAGAGCCGTTCTTCCAGCTTCTGGGAGTAGATGCTTTTAGCTGCTTTGATCTCCTTGGTCAGTGTGTTCCTGGCTTGCTTGTACAGGGCCCTGTCACCACTTCTGTAGGCGTCCTCCTTGGCCTTACAAAGAAGTTGCTCTATTGGATGGAGATCTGGATCACTGTGGAGGCAGTTTGAGTACAATGAACTCATTTTCATATTCAAGAAAGTAGTTTTAGATGACTTCAGCTTTGTGACGATGTTTGAACAGTGGTCTGTTGGTACCAAGGAACCAAAAGTGCACTAAAAGCATTACACCCTGACATTATACCACTTAACAGCAGGTTGAACCATTCACACAAAGTAGGATGGATCTGTTTTTGTTATTTACACCAAATTCTGATACTTTCATCTGAATTTCACAAATTTGAGACTGCCAAGTCAATGTTTTTACAATCTTCCATTGTCCAGATCTAGAGAGCCTGTGTGACATGTAGCCTCAGTGTGGTCTTCTGCTGCTTCAGAGATGGTCTTCTGCATATAACAAGTGGTTATTTGAGTTACTGTTGCTTTCGTATCAGCTGGAAGCTGTCTGGCTGTTCTCCTATAATTGTTGATATCAACAAGGCACTTTTACTCATGCAGAAACATGTTGAGTTGCTGCCATTTGATTGGCCGAATAGATATTTGGATTATCAAGCAGTTAAACAAGTGTACCTATTGAAGTGGCCATAAGTGTGATTTTTTTCAGTAGTGTTAGGAGGTCTTTACATACACTGTCAAAACCAACCAATGACAATATTCACAATCATATGCATTGCATTACTAGATTCTAATTATTAATTAATTGACGTGTGTATATATCTATTTAATGTTGCAGCCATTGTTGACTTTAAATATTTACATAATGCTCAGCAGGGTGATAATAATGCAATTGATGTGCAAAACCAAAGCTTCAAAATAAATAGTATGGAATTTAAAGTACAGTAATTGCATCTGAAAAATCTGGAGTGTGTAGAAATACTGAAATAATCATATTTCGGGTGGGGGGGGGTTGTGCCACCTCAGTTTCTTCCCCTCTGCTGTTGGACACATGAACAATAACCATATGACTGTTCCCACCACTAACACATGACCCTACGCTGTGTCACTGCATCATTTCATGTTTGGCACTGATCACCACCTGCACTCATGTAT